TTKGKKGKKGGKTTWMSGKKGGKTTWACAATGAACTWAACTCACCAGMGTCTCAATCACYACGTAAACAAGAGAYGAAACAAAMCCTGGAGGAGCRTTTAGTTTCTCTGTGGCATATCTTATGCAACGTCTGAGAACCCTTTTCAAAACATACCTTAAATGCCAGAATAGATATTTGATTATTATTGAATTAATAGTACGGTATAATTTTTTTTCAGTGATGTAATCATTTTTTTATTGTGACCAATTCATACATGGAGGGCTACAGTTTAAGAACACCAACCCACCAATTGAATACAGAAATTAAATTTTACACTCCTTGTATTACAACAATATTTTGGGACATAGTTGCATAAGGATTTTATATTATACACTGTTATAACTTCTTGTTCTCGCACACAACTGGGCAACACAGAGTAACACACCTTATCAGTGGTGGACAGCAACAAAGCAACTCAATGAAAACCCTGCCTATGGTGCTTTCCACTTCTTTTGTTTCTCATTCAGTGGAAAACACAACTTGTTTTCAATTAGTGTTCTGCCATTAAAGAAACAACTGTATCCAAGACTGCTTGCTAAAGACAGTATATTGTATCAGTCCACTTACCCTCTCCCTACATTGTCAGGCTTGCCGCCATCAGAAATGGCAATGGAAAGTGTTCGAATGTGATCAGCAACGACTCTATATGCCATGTCAATACCATCAGCGTCCTCAACGCCAACTTTACCAGCGTAGGGACGTATGCCTGTACTCTATCAAAGAATATATTTTTAAATTAATAGTAAGAAGAAACCATGAAAGTAAGTAACTAATAAATGATAAATTTTGATGAATTATGTAAATTCCTTTTTTCTATTGTTTAATGTACACTTTTACTACTTTTCCATGCTTAGTGTTTACACTTTAGCAAATGTATACAGTTTGGATATCAATAATATGCATGTGGTATTTAAAAATAATGAAGTTGTCTTCAGTAGCATGTATTGTGAGAATATAATATGAGAAATAGACTATATGCTACTATGGTTGTTGCTTTTATTTTTCTCAAGCTTTTGCTGGACACCAGCATCATTGGGAGAGTGAACATTACGACTTCACACCGATCTAAGTGTGTCATTGTGAACAGTTCTAATTATAAATTCAGCGCATGCACAATGCGAAGAAACGAGATAAAACCGGTTTTATCGTCTAACGGTTGCCAAGTCAACAGTGTAAACACAGCTGTCAAATTCGAGCGCGTAATTCAAATCAAGACACTTTATACATGACTTCATCGAAGTATTAAATTTCACGACAAATATGTTTCATTACATCAAAACAGAGTTATTGAGCTGAAACGCTTGATGAAGACGGCGTGTGGAAAGTTTGCCAAATTGAGAACACAAACTATGAAAAACGTTTAATACCGACTCATTGATCGCTTGAGCGGTGTATTTTTTATTTGAATTGTTAAAGTTTTGATTCTTTCGTAAGTTTATATATCTCGAGTATAGAGGTAAAGACTTTGGAAAGCAATACGAAGAAGAGMAACGAAACACTCAGATAAATCGCTAGTTTGCTTCCCATCAAACGCTACTTTTCTCCTTCTAGATTGTCAACAATGATGTCGGTCGAAACTTTTAAGTTTACAAACTTTCGATGTCAATTCGTCGCGAATATTTTAGTTTGTTTCGATCATAGAAGGGAAGCGAAACAATCAGATAACTCGCTAGTTTTGCTTSCCATCAAAACACTAGTTTAATGCGATGTCGAAACTCAACTTTCCGATGGCAAACGACGCGAATATGTTTGTTTGTTCGTTTTTTTTTCAATCGTACTTTAGTGTAATGGCTTATTAGACTCTGAATTCTAATTCGGAGTGCTTCTCCTTCGTAAATTATTTTATAAAGCGGTAATTTGCAGAACGATTGATTGATAAACTTAATAAAACTGGTTTGAGAAGAGACTCTTTCTGCAAGGTTTTATTTGTTAGTTCCATGGCAACGTGATAGTGATTTACATAAACACCCCCTGCAGATCGCTTCTTCGTGCGGTTCACGGGGGGTAAATCGTTAATTTATGGAGACACATTTAGATCGGTGTGAAGTCGTCATGAATATTTACAGGTAATCAATATAATATTATTATATAGCTGCTTTCTGAGCCACTGGAGCATGGAAGTTGTACATGAGGTATATAATTATCATTAAAAAAAACAACAAAAAAAACAGACTAAACAATAGATCTCTCAGTTCCAATATGTAGTGTGTTCACATATTTTTGAGTTTCAATACAAGAAGTCAGGGCAACTGGTTCTTTCCTTACCTGGTGAATTTTGTCAAAAAATGGAGTAAAGATATCAGTGTCGTAGTTGGACATCTTGCCCTGAATTATTGACACAAGACGCTCCAAGCCCATTCCAGTGTCAACATGCTTGTTGGGAAGTGGTTTCAGGTTGCCGCCATTCTCTCTAGAAAAGAGAAGCACATCTTTAAGGCAACAATAAGCAAAAGATGTAACAATGTATGAAAAACTCTGGGGTAAAACCTCAAAGCCATT